GGAATCCAAGACTTCGACTTTGTGCCTTGCCACTGTGTCTGCGTCCGACCCTCAGTCCGAGTCCGTCGTGTCGAGTGAGTGAGTGTGTGTGTGTGTGCTCTCACTCTCCCTCTCTCTCCCTCTCTCTCATCTCCCTCGGCTCACCCTCAGCCTCTCGCTCGTTACACACTCTCTCTCTCTCTCTCTCTCTCTCTCTCTCTCTCTCTCTCTCTCTCTCTCTCTCTCTCTCTCTGTCTCGGGTTGAAGTGTGGGTTGAAGAGTGGTTTGAAGAGTGGGTTGAAGAGTGGGTTGAAGAATGGGTTGAAGAGTGGGTTGAAGAGTGGGTTGAAGAATGGGTCAAGAATGGGTTCAGGGTTGAAAGCCATCCATCGTAGTTGTTTAGGGCAAGGTCGGCGCAGGAGGCCAGGTTAAAGAGAAAAGGGATTCTCATCCGAGAGAGTTAGGGAAGCTCACCTTTCCAAAAAGAACATCTGTCCAACAAGCATTGCAATGCAGCAGGCGGAAACAAAGATATGCCACTTCAGGCACTGGCTAGCAGATGGACTTCCGGGAGCATATAACGCAGACCACTGCAACAGAACACAACAAAGCAAGTCACGTCACTGTGAGTCAGTGAGAGATTTTGAAAGACCGACTTCACAGTCCTTGAAACTTTGCTTAATTCACATTAATCCCCAACTTAGTTTCACTTTTGACGACAACAACGCATTTATCCAAAACATGCTTCTGAAACTCGTTCCCTTTGAGGAAACCTTGGGTTTGAACTTTTGACCTTTGAACCAATTGGGTTCGAACTTTTGACCTTTGAACCAACTGGGTTCGAACTTTTGACCTTTGAACCAATTGGGTTCGAACTTTGAACCAATTTGACTATTTCAGTCCAGGAACTGAGGACGGTGAGGGGAAGCCAGACACGACTACGAAAAGTTAGAAAACCATGAGAAGTCGCAAGAGACAGGTGAGCAGAGGGGTGGTGGCATGGGAGAAGAGGTAGGGGGGAGATTGCAAGGGAGGGATGGGGGGGAGATTGCAGGGGGGGAAACGCAACGGGAAAGGGCAAAGGGAAGATGGAAGGGGTGAGGTTGGGGGGACAGGGAAGTTTGCAGGGAGGGGGGGGGTCATGGGGTCGCACACGAGAGAGGTGGTCAGGGGAGAACGCTGCCATGCGAAGGTCACAGAGCGGGAAATCGCACGGGAGAGGCAGCAGGGGGAGACATTGCAGGGGCGGTCGGCACAGAGTGAAAGTCAGAGGCACGAGAACTAGCAAGGGGGGGGGGGGGGGGGGGGGGGGGGGGGGGGGGGGGGGGGGGG